AGCTGATCCGGAACCTCCCGAGCAGTGACAAAACCAATCGCCAAATGGATTCACGTGGCAAACGGAAGCAAACAAGATGTTGCAAACATTAGATGCCAAAAGAGGAGCGGCACAGCCTGAACCGCAAAACCGCAAATAAACGTTAAGCTATCAAAACCCAAGTGTAAACACCGCTGGTAATCACAAACGCTAAAACAACAGAGATTAAATGCCAAACCCTTTAGCCAGAAGAAGTGCACGAACACGCTCGCAAAACCTAAACCCGAAAAGCAATGGGACCCCACAGAGCCTACAAAACAGATCCAAGTCGCAAAACCTACATTTCAAAAGAACTGACAAGCCACAAACGGTCAAAACGATGGCAAACAGCGAGAAGCTAGAATGCAAAAACCTCAGTACCAGACAAACGCAAACCCTGAAAGGAAACAAGGCAAGCGCCACACCACAAACCATGACACAAACCCTAAAATCGACAAGATCTGATGGCAAAACCCTGAACCCGAAAGGAGCAGCAAACCCGAACCGTAAAAAAGGTGGCAAACCGAAACAATGCAAACACTGGCCAAAACCCAAGCTTCCTAAACCTGCAAACCATGACCCAACCCTCAGCTCAGAACTGAGCGGCGAACCCTGGCCCCAGACAGGAGTGCAAGCGATAAGACACAAAAGACTGGTATGACAAGCTGACCCGGAAACCCCCGAGCAGTGACAAACCGCCAAATGGATTCACGTGGCAAACGGAAGCAAACAAGATGTTGCAAACATTAGATGCCAAAAGAGGAGCGGCACAGCCTGAACCGCAAAACCGCAAAAAACGTGAAGCCATCAAAACCCAAGTGTAAACACCGCTGGTAATCACAAACCCTAAAACAACAGAGATTAAATGCCAAACCCTTTAGCCAGAAGAAGTGGCAAGCCGCGCACCGCCGTTCAACGGTTGGCTACGCCACGAACACGCTCGCAAAACCTAAACCCGAAAAGCAATGGGACCCCACAGAGCCTACAAAACAGATCCAAGTCGCAAAACCGACACTTCAAAAGAACTGACAAGCCCCAGACCGTCAAAACGATGGCAAACAGCGAGAAGCTAGAATGCAAAAACCTCAGTACCAGACAAACCCAAGTTTTTGACAGGAAACAAGGCAAGCGCCACACCACAAACCATGACACAAACCCTAAAATCGACAAGATCTGATGGCAAAACCCTGAACCCGAAAAGAAGCAGCAAACCCAAACCGTCAAAAAGGTGGCAAACCTACAGTGCAAACTCGCCGAACCCTGGCCCCCGACAGGAGTGCAAACTACAAAACACAAAAGACTGGTGTGACAAGCTGACCCGGAACCCACCGAGCAGTAACAAAACCAACCGCCACATGGATTCACGTGGCAAACGGAAGCAAACAAGATGTTGCAAACATTACACGCCGAAAGGAGCGGCACAGCCTGAACCGCAAAAAACGCAGAAAATCTCAAGCCATCAAGACCCAAGTCAAGTGTAAACACTGCTGACAAACCCTAAAACAACAGAGATTAAATGCCAAACCCTTTAGCCAGAAGAAGTGGCAAGCCGCGCACCGCCGTTCAACGGTTGGCTACGCCACGAACACGCTCGCAAAACCTAAGCCCGAAAAGCAATGGGACCCCACAGAGCCTACAAAACAGATCCAAGTCGCAAAACCGACACTTCAAAAGAACTGACAAGCCCCAGACCGTCAAAACGATGGCAAACAGCGAGAAGCGAGAATGCAAAAACCTCAGTACCAGACAAACCCAAGCTCTGAAAGGAAACAAGGCAAGCGCCACACCACAAACCATGACACAAACCCTAAAATCGACAAGATCTGATGGCAAAACCCTGAACCCGAAAAGGAGCAGCAAACCCAAACCGTAAAAAAGGTGGCAAACCTAAACAGCGCAAACACTGGCAAAACCTCAACTTCCTAAACCTGCAAACCATGATACAACCCGCAGCTCAGAACTGAGCGGCGAACCCTGGCCCCAGACAGGAGTGCAAGTGATAAAGCACAAAAGACTGGGATGACAAGCTGATCCGGAACCTCCCGAGCAGTGACAAAACCAATCGCCAAATTGATTCACGTGGCAAACAGAAGCAAACAAGATGTTGCAAACATTACACGCCGAAAGGAGCGGCACAACCTAAACCACAAAAACGCAGAAAACCTGAAGCCATCAAAACCCAAGTGGAAACACCGCTGAAATCACACCCCCTAAAACAACAGAGATTAAACGCCAAACCCTTTAGCCAGAAGAAGTGGCAAGCCGCGCACCACCGTCCAACGGTTGGCTACGCCACGAACACGCTCGCAAAACCTAAACCCGAAAAGCAATGGGACCCCACAGAGCCTACAAAACAGATCCAAGTCGCAAAACCTACATTTCAAAAGAACTGACAAGCCCCCGACCGTCAAAACGATGGCAAAAAGTGAGAGGCTAGCATGCAAAACCGCCCGTACCGGACAAACCCAAGCCCTGGAAGGAAACAAGGCAAGCGTCACACCACAAACCATGACACAAACCCTAAAATCGACAAGATCTGATGGCAAAACCCTGAACCCGAAAGGAGCAGCAAACCCAAACCGTAAAAGAGGTGGCAAACCGAAACAATGCAAACACTGGCAAAACCTCAACTTCCTAAACATGGAAAGCCATGATACAACCCTCAGCTCAGAACTGAGCGGCGAACCCTGGCCCCAGACAGGAGTGCAAGCGATAAAACACAAAAGACTGGTATGACAAGCTGACCCGGAAACCCCCGAGCAGTGACAAACCGCCAAATGGATTCACGTGGCAAACGGAAGCAAACAAGATGTTGCAAACATTAGATGCCAAAAGAGGAGCGGCACAGCCTGAACCGCAAAACCGCAAAAAACGTGAAGCCATCAAGCCCCAAGTGTAAACACTGCTGGTCAAACCCTAAAACAACAGAGATTAAATGCCAAACCCTTAAGCCATAAGAGCAAAACCTAAACCCAAAAAGCAATAGGACCCCACAGAGCCCACAAGACAGACCCAAAGTTGCAAAACCTATACTTCAAAAGAACTGACAAGCCCCAGACCGTCAAAACGATGGTAAACGCAAAACCTTCAATCAGCCGTGTGCGCCTAAAACGTTCAAAAGAGCAGCAACCACGAAGTATAAAAGCATCGGCAAATCCTGGAGCTTGGTACTAAGACTTCACCACGGACACACTTGCAAAACCTGAACCCGAAAACAAAATGCAAACCAAAACGCCTACAAGACAGATCCAAGCCACAAGACCTTAACCGAGGCCCAAAAGTGCCAGAAGAACGGCGAATACGAGGATCCGAAAGCCTTATAACCCTGCCAATCCTATGGTAAGCCACGCATAGAGTGGCAAACCTTCAGCCTAAACCATAAACAAGGCGTCTGCTGTAAACTCGAAATAAGCAGCGGGAGCAAACCCTAAACTCTACATTTCAGCCGAAATTCGAAGCCTAAACAGCACGACCAACCCAAGCCTACGAGACCATTGTTGTGGATTCCGAACCTCGACAAAACCCACCACGAAAGAAAAAAGCAAACCCTAGACCTCAAAAGGAGCAGCACACCCTCAACCGGAGAAGCATGACAAAACCTAAGTCCCAGACCTTCAACCGTTCAAAGGAACGGTCAGCCCAGAATCACTGAAAGAATGGCAAGCGCAAACCCTGAACCCTCACCCCAAACCTTTGGGGGAGCGACAAACCCTGCAGCCTGAAGGCCTACGTGCCAACACTCAGCGGCGAAAAGAATGCAAAGCTCAAACCGTCAAAAAGTCCCAAACCTGTGATAAACCGAGTTCCCCACGGTACTCACAAACCCGAAGCCTACAAGATTCGAACGGCAAACAAAGAGGCAAACCCCACACCTTCCTTCCAAAGATTGGCACACCCTAAACCATGATGACCTTTGCGAAGCCGAAAAGCCCCAAAAATAATGGCAAGCCACAAAGCCTACAAGACAGACCCCAGACTTAAAACATAAACCTCGCAAGAACAGACAAGACACCCAGGCCGTCTAAACAGTGGCAAACGAAAAACTGTCAAAGAGCAGTGCACCTTAAACTTAAGTTACGAATCGAATGCCACACCCTCGCGCTAGACTTCGCTAGACCCTGACAGCAATGATAAAACAAAAAGCCGCAAAATCGGCAGTGGCAAACCCGACATAAGCAACGGCAAACCGCAAGGAGAGTGGCACGTTAAGACAACCAACAAAAACCAACAAAAACTGAACCATGAACAGTTTGGCAAGCCATGGACCCAAAAACATCAAGTACAGGGGCAGTAATGGAACCCGACGAGCAATCAGAAAGACCAAGCACCGAGTGGAAGCGAGTGGCAAACCGAAACAAAAAAGTGGCAGGGAATGGTTTAAGGCCTAAACCGTCCTCAGACTTGCAAAGGCAAACCCGAAATTAAAAGGAGTGGCGAATCCGAATTAGTGAGTGAACCTAGACTACTTGGAAGTAGTGACACGCCTTGTAGCCAAAACCTAAAGGTGCAAAATTTAAACCCCCAAACCTCAAGAAGGAGCGGGAAGAAGCATGACAAATCCTCGTTTCGCATAGCATTCAACCCACAAAAAATTGATGTCGCTTTATGGGTTCGGCCAGACACCCAAAACCTCCACATTAAAACACTTCATTGCTTCGGAAGGTTCAATTGCAGTGTCCACCGCTCGGCATCACGTGGGCTTCGCTGCGATTTTGACGGATTGTGGATTGTGGATTGTGCTCGGGTACCAAAGGGAGGTGACAGGCCAAGACCTAGCGGCCTAGCGACACGGACGAAACCGACGACAGGAGGACAGTGCAGTGCAGACGCTTTGTGGCGACTAAACATACGAAAACGGCAGAAGCTCTCGACTCTCGGGCCAGGGCTTCGAGGAAACCGCGCAGATGTTGTCAGCAAACTGGGTGGAGGCGAATGGGTGGTCCTCCGTTTCTCATAAAGCCGGTGCAAAAAGAGTCTGACACTCATGCGTCCTTGGGAAATCTGCCCAGCTTCACCGAGGCCTGCACGATACCCAAAAAGGAGACATTGAAGTTGCAGACATCATCACATGCACCGGAAAAGCGTTGCCTTGCCCGACTTCACGTCCACGGACCCGACAAATCGCAGCACCTCGTTTGCTTTCTCGGCCTCTTCCAGAAGCGCATCCATCCTCAGACATCGACGGCTTCCGAACGAAACAAATCTGCAGGCCCCTCTCCCGTAGTTCCTGACGCTCAATCGTAACTCCATTCTTGCAGAGACTTGGGCACGGGCTCATCATCATAGGCTGTGAGCTCCTGCCACGACGCTAAATAGCTGCGGTACCCAGGGCGTAGGCGATCTTCTGGCACCAAGGCCATGACCGCAAACCCTAACTCCCACGCAAGGGGCTTGGAAGAGGCCTCCACGAAAGCATCTCCAAGCTTCTTGCCATCGGGCGCTTCCCAACTGACACCAGGCTGTGCACAACAAAAGAAAAGCAGCTTCAGTCTTGAGCCTAGCTTCCAGCACTGAAAACTCGAGCCTGAGAAGAACACATAAGCCTGAGGCGAGGGCTTCTGAAGCTTCTCCGGGACTAGAGACTTCACCTTGTTGGCTCTGCGCTGCAAACCGGTCGGCAAACACCGTGGCAAGGCCAGTGCCGGGACATCATCGAGCTCGATCTTCAAGCCGATCTCTCGCGCAAGGATGGTCACCTGAGCAGGCACCGTTTCGACCAGTTTGGCAACCCCGGCCCCTGGCGGTGACGCGTCGGCCTTGCGCTGGACGTCGGTGCCCCCCAGGTCATCTCGGGGGTCGGGCCTCAGGCATCAACAAAGAGCCACAAGCTCACGCAAGCGCGGCTTGCAAAGTCCCGGGCTCCGTGAAGCCCTTGTCCTTCGCCTCCTTCACCACTTCAGAGAACTTCACACCGGGCCTTGGGAGGCACTGCTACGCCGCTCCACTGCCGGCCCGCATCTCTCAGCTCCAGGCTTCCACGTGTTGAAGATGTAGGACAGGGTGCCACTGAAGATGCCCTCAACCTCGGGTACCGAGCCACATTGAGAACCCATGAGTAGATGCGCAAGCCGCACCTCTGGCCAGAGCATCAAGAAGCACAGCAAGAGAGGAACCAACGGGTTATGAGGTTCACGAGCTTGCCATGGAATGTGTGTCGAGCTTTGAATCATTCGGCCGTCGGCTCAGAAGCCTCATGACGTTAAGGTGTTCTCAAGATAAGACTTGGCGCGAAGCGAAAGAGACGGTATTCTGGAGCTTCTGCTAGCATGCAACAACTCGCAAAAGGAGACCATGGGTTGACAACCTCCCACATGGCTCCAGCAAAAGCGTGAAGACCGGGAGTGCGCGAGCAGAAATTCTGAAATCAATAGCCGGAGGCCCGAGCGGCCCTAGCGCCGAACCCAGAAAACAAGCTGAGGCTTTCTCGGCAGAAATGGACAATCCTGGACACCTTCTCACCTAGATCCTCGTGGAACTTGATGTAACTGGTGTAAATCGAAAACATCTCAAGCCTTGCAAACTGCAAGCACTTCGGGACTGACATGGGGCAGTGGAAACAGTTGAGTCAAGCTGTGCAGAGGCCCTCGCAGTATCCACCTCGTCGCCTGCTCTGAGCAACGCCTGAAGCGGACCCACAACGGGGAGTCCAGCACCGACCTGATGGTCAAAGGCTGCGATGGCAGATTCGTTAGACTACTCCGGTACCGGGTCGCCGGCCGTTGCTTCGTACAAGAAGCGCGCGCCGCTCTTGCGAGACGCCTCCATAATCTTTTCCTGGCCAAGCGAGCAGCACCGACTATGCGCTAGGAAGAACGATCCTACCCCCAGAGTCATCACCCACGGAGACCACAACCACCAAACACAATGCGTGCAACGACTATTGCTGCCTCGATCGCGACGACAACGATAGCGGCTTAGCGGGCTATGGGCGGCTATAGCACTTGCACTTGGAGTTCCGCTTTTTCCGATGGGAGTACCTTTGCCAGTTTACCTTATCCGACACACGATCGACTGCATGCAGGCGGCTGAGGAATCCACTTCGACAGCACGGACACCTCCCCAAACGAGCGATACCATCCCCGTCGTCGCTTAGCTAAATGCCTAAGCCCTAAGCCCTAAATGTTACCCTGTGTATCTGATGCGGGAGTCTGATCTGTGGGGCTGCTGATGCTGAGGGTGGCTTGCTCATCTCGCCCCCGGGGCCTTCTGATCCTGACGAGCAGAAGTTTTCTGATGCTGATAATGCGCCACCTGAAACCTGCTGATGTTCAGTGTTGCTCATGCTGATGATGCTTTCCCTGAAGGCTGCTGGTTCTTGGGATTGCCTGCACGAGTGCCCTCTGATGCTGCTGATGCTCTCCTCGAGGGCTGCTTATGCTCGGGATTGCTTGTTGCTCGGTTGCTCTCCCCCGGGACTGTCGATGGTGATGCTTTTGCCGAAGGGGCCTTCCGATGCTGAGAACACTTTCCCCGAAGTCGCTGCGAGGCAGAAACTGGCCCTCCACACTCTGAGCTGCTCAGGTTGGCCGGGGGATTATGCTTCCGACGTCCAACCGACGCTGACGACTTGCAATGTCGTCAGCGGACGGTTCGCAGGCATCCAGGGGTCCATCTTCCTTCCGTTCATTGTGGGAGGCCTGTTTTGATGGCGACAAATTACAAGCTGTCGCACCGGCTGAAGAGACACCGGCGCCTTACGTGAAGCGTTGCCTTCCTTGCTGTGTGAAGAGCCCGCAAGACCCAGGATGGAACACACAGGCTGTCACGAGGCTTATCACAAAAAAAGTGCCTGAGCTACCCTCCACAAGGAGTGGAGTCCTGAACTTGGCACCCTTCGACTGGCAATCCGGCTCAACCAGGCCGGGCTGAGCAAGAAGTTGAAATTTCCAGTAATCACTCCCATATTGGACACCAAGGCGGCGTATCTAGTTTTGAGTCCAACTGTTCAACAGTTCAAGGGCAACGGCTTTCCCGCCCGAGCCCGGACTTAACGGGAAAGCGGTAACACGAGCCAGGAGTTCGTAGCGTGGCATCGGCCCACTCCCTGCTCGCTTGTTGGGCGTTGCGACATCCGCGCCGGCCAACAGCCAGGCCTGCAATCAAAGCTAGACCGCCAGACGAACCAACCAACCAGACATGAGCGAACTCCAGAACTCGCTTGTCTGCCTCGTACATCTCGGCAGGTGCGTCGGACGCCTTGCGAGCGCTGCGCTGATTTCACGCCATGGAGAATCTCACAAGTCTCTGTGTCAGCACTCATGCGATTCAAAGCAGCTCCGAATCTGCCGGGCCATGTCTTCTAGAACATCCAGCAGCACTGCGCATAAAATGTCTAAGAAAAGCGCTGTGTTGTCCACAATCAACGCACGACCACCTCAAAGCACAGCCATACATAGCTCAATGCAGAACACAAGATTGGGGCCTAAGGGCACAATGTGCGTGGCTAACCTCCGCCTTCCGAGGCCGAGACCGCTTGCTGCGGCCAAGTCCACCACATGCTGGCCTGCAGAGCGCACGCGCACGCTGCCATCCGCTGCTGGGCAAACTGCCCCCCCCCCAAACCGTGTCTGGACCACCTAGCTTCTTCAAGTCTGCCGCCTCCTCCTGCGCTCCGTGCAGCGATGTCGCGGCCAACAGCGGAATCCCCATGCCATGCCATGCCATGCCATGCCATGCCATGCCTGACTTTCCGGCCACTCCGTGAAGCTCGCGGTACCAGCCGGCAGAAGAGCCATGGTCTCAGCGTGTGTGGCAGTGTATCGCCGAACAACTCTAACTGGACGAAAGATGACAGCACCGAATTGATGCCAACGTCCTGCACTTCGGGTGTTGCGGGATCACTGGATAGCGGTACAGATGCCCCATGATGCCTCACCTTTTCTTGGTGATACAAGGTTCCTTGTGACGCACCGCACCGTGGGGGTATAGACGCTCCTCCACCATCATGTTTTCTTGACCTGAAGGTCTTGGAGATGTTTCAAAGAATTCCCCTTGTCCTTCTTTCCATGCCATTTGTCACATTCTAGTTCGCTTGCCTGGCATGAAATCTATGTTCTCCAATGGAGGCTAGGCTGCCAGGAAACTATTTCCTCTCTCAACTTGCGCCCTCAATTGGAACTCACTTTGAGCTGCATGTAGCCAGAATCATCTTTGGGCAATGCACAGGTGCAAAGTGGACATGACCCACGATGCCCTTGACACCTACTGGAATCTGGAATCTGGCAGAAACCATAACATTTGGCTCCAGGCGCGAGAACGGGACACTGCGGCAATTTCGATGCGCACCTGCCGCGAAGGCATCACGAAGCTTCACATGCTGGCTGCTGGAATACACTGGCGGCGGGCTAGGGTACGGGCCCCGATCTCTTTCTCCAACTTGGGTGCCGCTGCACACATCTGTCCGACCAGCTCTTGCCCTTGCCAGGCGGACTATCTTCTTGAGCTAAACGCCAAGGCCCAAGGCTTCTGGGATCGTATCAGCTCCTGGCCCACAAGGCCATAGCCCACGAGACCCACCTCGAATTCCACACACAACTTCCCGAAACCCTTCGCAGCTGCAGGAACAAAAAACACTGCCGTCGTCGAACGAATAATTAAAGCCGTGTCAGAAGTGAAACCTCTTGGAACCTAGCACCAGGGATGCACAAAGAAGCACGAAGAGCATACAGAAAGCACAGGAAGCAGACACGACTTGGTCTTCTTGCCGATCTCGGGGCCGCGCATGCAGCGTTGGCATGCCGGCCCCAGCAGCAGCAAAGCGAGCCACACCTGAGCACTGGGCGTCACTGGGCGTCGGGGAGTAAAGCAGGTATGGATTCTGATCTGTACTGGGACTTGCTTCCAGATCTTCACCACACGAGGAGGCGACGGCCCCGCAGGCTACACCGATGCGAGGTCGCCTTACTAGTGAACAAAATCACAGAGAAACGCCATGACTAACCGAAAGGAAATCCGTCGCTGGGATGACCCAATCCACAGAGCTGCAAACGGCCTCCCTGTGCTGAACCCTTTGCTTGAGGCGCGGACGGGATGTATCCTGCGTGCGGAGGCCTGCGGCATGTCATGAAGGGTCAACGGATATCATCAATGTATCCGGCCCTCTTTCGTCCCAGAGTGCCCCTGAGGATACCACGGCCAAGATCGCCGTCACGGAAGCAGCTGCTGTCAACGCCTTCTACCATCCCCGTGGGCGTGCGGACGTCCATGCGGGAACCACGACTACCAACATGCTGCTAGCATCTGCTTTTCGCAGCATGTGAAGCAGAACGGAGGCTCCAGTCAAGTCTGGGGCAGCTTCCCGTGCACCATGTGCAGGCGGCTCAAAGCAGCCGGCCTCGGGGTGCAGGCATCTCCGCAAAGGCACCGCATGACCCTAAGCCCATCTAAGCCCCCGGCCTTCTGCACCTTGGCTTGTGCTCCGAGGGCAGGCAAGCTCCGAGACGCCTGGGTGTGCAGAAAAGGGCGCTTTCGGCCCCAGTGGCCGGGTCTGGCAGACAGCAGAAGACAACGCAAAGGAACAAAACGAAAGACAGACTTCGACTGGAAGCTCGGATGCAGCAACTGATCCAACGTCTCGCCTGCAACATGCATACCAGCAAGGGCAGCGAACTTCACAGAAGGAGCTGGGAAGGCAGCCTACAGACTACCTACTGTATTACCTCTAAGCTGCTTAGGGCCCTGGCCGTGAGCGGCACCGGGAGACGACTCAGGCAAGCCGGCCCCGCCATGCTCGCCACGCTTACCATTTCTTCCCCCCACCAACTCCCCTCTAGAAGGGGTTGAACGCTGAACGCTGCGGAGTTGCGGCGCCGGGACTGTCAGGAAGCTGCAGCCAGGCTGCGTCAATAGCAAGCCTTCCAGTTCGAAAGGATTGGCTCACATATTGGCATGCTCGGATCGAACTGCACATAAATCCTTCGTAGCCCTTCAGCTTAGTACTCGAAGCTACCAAAAGAATCATGCTTCCTGCAGCAAGTGCTCCGCTTGGTGCTTTGGGTTCAATGCCTTTGTCTTGGCCTTTGCGGGAGATCGAACTGAGGTCTTCGATAGTGTGGGAGAGCTAGGCAGCAGCAAGACATGGCAAGACATGGAAATTAAGTCGGCTCTTGGCAGCTACCAGCTCTTATCTAGCTTGCCAGGAGCTGATTGGCTGTTTCTGAGCTGAGACTCACCAAGCTTCCACGCTCATTCGCATCTGGCTTCATGTCGGAGCGGTGTTGTTGCACACGTGAAATGCAACACCACTAAGAAATTTCCGTGTTCGTTGAAGCCTTTTGCGCTCCGACACCAGATCAATCGAGACATGCGTGAAGTAGATTGCCACTGCAGAAGCCAGATTCTGCAATCCATGGTTCAATCATGTGAGACGCATGCGCCGACCAAACTGGATACCTCAGACAAGACGGATAGCATTCAAGCAGTCGAGCTGGTGTAGAATATGCTGATGGAAACGATGCTTGATGCACTGCTGACGCACGGCATGGCTCAAACGACGCCCAACTGTGTGCAAAGAAGGCCAACACCATAGCCTGTGGCATATTCTCCAACAAAAGAGGGGTAATACATATCACAGTGTATCCATCGTCCTTGGTGGCCTGCGTGTTTCAAGTGCTTGTAGATAAACAGTCCTGCGCAGGACGACTGTGCGTTGGACCGATCCTTCACCGAATTCTTCATGTCCGCAAACTCAGAGTCGAACTCTGACAGAAGCAGCTCTGGCGCAAAGAGACCCGGGTGCGCTCCCTCTCCAGATACGCGACCCGCATCCACGATCTCTTTCTCCAAAGCTTCATCTGAGGCAAGGATGGAGGAGAAGTGCTTCCCGGTGCTAATCGCCTGCGCGCCGGTCAGCGTGGCCATGTCGACAATGAGCTCTGCACCGAGGTTCTTCACGGCATGCGCCACACCATCGGCCAATACTAAACGACCTTCAGCATCGGTGTTATTGATTTCAGAAGTCAAACCGGAGTAGTGCAATATGATGTCATCGTTCAGGAACATGCCTGGGCCAATGCCATTCTCGGCGATACACAGCACGCAATGAAGCGGAGCTCCTGTTGGCAGTCCACCGCATTTGACTGCTGCCAACCAGGCGCCGAAGACACCTGCAGCGCCTCCCATATCGCGCTTCATGCCACACATGCCTTCGCGCGGCTTCAATGATGCACCTCCTGTGTCATAAGTGATGCCTTTGCCGACAAGCGCCACACCTACTGGACCGCCGTCTGCCGACATGCCGCTGGGGTTATGCGTGAGCACTATGAGACAAGGAGGTCTCTGATCAGCACTTTTGCCCACATTCCAAAGGCCCCCGTATCCCTTGTCTCGAAGCTCTGTTCCTTCGATGACATGTGCTGTCACCTTGTCCAGGCCTTTCGTCGCCGCTAGAACGAACTCCTTCAGTGTCGCGGGCTGAATGAAGTTCGGCGGCATGTCTACCAGTCCCTGTGCAAGACGAATCGCCGCGGCCATGTGATTCAACTTCGCTAGCAATGGCCCCGGTGCTGCACCATAGAAGCGCACTGTCGCATCTGCCGGGCTCGGCATGTCAGCTTTGCTTGCGAAGGGTGGCAAGCAACGAGCTACTGCAAGACCCGTCGCTAGGCGATTCTCCTCCGTAACTGCTATCACAATGTCCTTGCCTCGGATCTTGCCTTGCAGATGTTTCGCAATAACGTCAGGCCGGGCTTTGCAGACCACGCGGCTTTGCGCTGGGGGAACTGCAAGCAAGGTCACTGTGCGGAGCTCTTCACCGACCAAGAAAGTGGCCACCTTCGTGGAACCATTGTTTTCAACCTTTTTGACCACTGCTTCGGCAGCTGCAGAAAGAACCGGCACCTTCAAGGCTTCAGCGATGTCTTTGGCGACTTGAAGCACTTCCGGTGCGCTGCCAATGATCCACATGTCTCGACCCCCTTTCAGAGAAGCTCCGACGTCTCCAAGGTCCTGAAATTCCACTTGCTCCTTTGGGTGCAGAAGGACCTCGATCATATCCTCAGCATGGGCCCGCTGTTCCCTATCCGGCCCCAAGCCCCGCAAAGCCGTGACCACCGAGGCCCTTCTAGCTGTCGCAGAACAAACCACAGCAGATATGGCCAGACCCTGGTCATTCCTGCTGTCTATCTGGGACCCTCTCTAAATCTCGGGGCCGCGCATGCAGCGTTGGCATGCCGGCCCCATCAGCAGCAAAGCGAGCCACACCTGAGCACTGGGCGTCACTGGGCGTCGGGAGAAAAGCAGGTATGGATTCTGATCTGTACTGGGACTTGCTTCCAGATCTTCACCACACGAGGAGGCGACGGCCCCGCAGGCTACACCGATGCGAGGTCGCCTTACTAGTGAACAAAATCACAGAGAAACGCCATGACTAAACGAAAGGAAATCCGTCGCTGGGATGACCCAATCCACAGAGCTGCAAACGGCCTCCCTGTGCTGAACCCTTTGCTTGAGGCGCGGACGGGATGTATCCTGCGTGCGGAGGCCTGAGGCATGTCATGAAGGGTCAACGGATATCATCAATGTATCCGGCCCTCTTTCGTCCCAGAGTGCCCCTGAGGATACCACGGCCAAGATCGCCGTCACGGAAGCAGCTGCTGTCAATGCCTTCTACCATCCCCGTGGGCGTGCGGACGTCCATGCGGGAACCACGACTACCAACATGCTGCTAGCATCTGCTTTTCGCAGCATGTGAAGCAGAACGGAGGCTCCAGTCAAGTCTGGGGCAGCTTCCCGTGCACCATGTGCAGGCGGCTCAAAGCAGCCGGCCTCGGGGTGCAGGCATCTCCGCAAAGGCACCGCATGACCCTAAGCCCATCTAAGCCCCCGGCCTTCTGCACCTTGGCTTGTGCTCCGAGGGCAGGCAAGCTCCGAGACGCCTGGGTGTGCAGAAAAGGGCGCTTTCGGCCCCAGTGGCCGGGTCTGGCAGACAGCAGAAGACAACGCAAAGGAAAAAAACGAAAGACAGACTTCGACTGGAAGCTCGGATGCAGCAACTGATCCAACGTCTCGCCTGCAACATGCATACCAGCAAGGGCAGCGAACTTCACAAACGGAGCTGGGAAGGCAGCCTACAGACTACCTACTGTATTACCTCTAAGCTGCTTAGGGCCCTGGCCGTGAGCGGCACCGGGAGACGACTCAGGCAAGCCGGCCCCGCCATGCTCGCCACGCTTACCATTTCTTCCCCCCACCAACTCCCCTCTAGAAGGGGTTGAACGCTGAACGCTGCGGAGTTGCGGCGCCGGGACTGTCAGGAAGCTGCAGAGGCTGCGTCAACAGAAAGCCTTCCAGTTCGAAGGGATTGGCTCACATATTGGCATGCTCGGATCGAACTGCACATAAATCCTTCGTAGCCCTTCAGCTTAGTACTCGAAGCTTCTGCTCCCACTTGGTTTAGTGCTGCAGTTCTTGGACTGCCCGTGTCGAAAGACGTGGATCGACCTCCTGACTGGATGATGTCTCGTGTTGCCGTCTTCTGCAACACCCTTCCGCAGTTCTGCGAACATGTTTGTGACGACTAGGTCGCCACGTGCGGCAAAAAGCCCCTTCCGTGGACCATTGGGCAGTCGACCTGCACCTGCAGTCTAAAGGTTTAGCTTAATCTTTATCTGGTCTGGTCTTCATTTCAATATCATACCGCATCTCGTGACTGGATTGTTTGCCCGTACACAACACACTACGTGTGCCAAACTGATTTTGCACGAAGCTTGCGCCAAACAGTCCCGAATGCTTTGTCGAGACGAAATGCTGAACCCCTGGTTTGCTTGTAGAAGAACTCTCAAGGGAACAAAGCCTGGACTTGTGCGCCAAGCATCCTACCGACTGGTTTTTCTGCATCTCGGCCACCAGCGTCGTGTGCAGTGTTGAAGTTTCAACATTGCATCAACCACAATGTCGGGAATTCTGCGTGACGACTGGTTAGTGTGCTGCACGAACGAGTATGCACTGAGTGTGCGAGTGCTTGAACAAATGAGGGTGGGTCGGTGAGTGAACGCGTACGAGTGTGTGAGAATCCAATGAGATGCGATGGGGCAAATGAAGAGCAAGGGAGAGATTTCAAATGTTACGGCACAGAAGATCTGTGTCCCATGCGCAGCTGTGAGGCACACATCCGACATGAAGTTCAGAGAGCGAGACAACAGAAATCTACCTAGGGCACACCAAGCCTGAGCACTCGTGGTCGATTTGTGCCGTCATTGATGCATGCAGGCCTGTTTGCCTGGATACCACGGGCGTCTGCGGTTGCGGGATGCTGAGGTGGGTTCACGGCTCTCGACACCATGTGTAAATACAGACATGAATGAAATGTACATGCTTCCTAGATTGCCTGTCTTAGCAGATATCAAGACAAAACCACTTGTACACACAGCGGTTCGACTATCTCGGCTTTCAGAAGTTGCAAGCAGTAAAACTGTTACACACAACTTTGTCAGTATGTAGCACGCAACTGTCCCCACAATGCCCAGTATTCAGCAAGCGCACATGTTTAAACAAGCATGTTACCGAAACATCATAGACTCAAACTCAAACTTGCCTTTTCACCCCTCAGACCAACCAGGACATGCAGCTCTGTTCAGGGTCAATGCTGCACTGGCCACCTCGACTGCTCCAGGCCAAGTCCCTCCACGACATGAGCCGGACGGAGCAAGCTGCGTTTTTGGAGATGCGACCAGATACCTCTGATCAACTATAGATGTGCTACCCCACAGAAAAATGAATAGCAATGTAGCAGAATACTCTGACGAAACTGATGCACTGCGTAGCTCAAACGACGCCCAACTGTGTGCAAAGAAGGCCAACACCATAGCCTGTGGCATATTCTCCAACAAAAGAGGGGTAATACATATCACAGTGTATCCATCGTCCTTGGTGGCCTGCGTGTTTCAAGTGCTTGTAGATAAACAGTCCTGCGCAGGACGACTGTGCGTTGGACCGATCCTTCACCGAATTCTTCATGTCCGCAAACTCAGAGTCGAACTCTGACAGAAGCAGCTCTGGCGCAAAGAGACCCGGGTGCGCTCCCTCTCCAGATACGCGACCCGCATCCACGATCTCTTTCTCCAAAGCTTCATCTGAGGCAAGGATGGAGGAGAAGTGCTTCCCGGTGCTAATCGCCTGCGCGCCGGTCAGCGTGGCCATGTCGACAATGAGCTCTGCACCGAGGTTCTTCACGGCATGCGCCACACCATCGGCCAATACTAAACGACCTTCAGCATCGGTGTTATTGATTTCAGAAGTCAAACCGGAGTAGTGCAATATGATGTCATCGTTCAGGAACATGCCTGGGCCAATGCCATTCTCGGCGATACACAGCACGCAATGAAGCGGAGCTCCTGTTGGCAGTCCACCGCATTTGACTGCTGCCAACCAGGCGCCGAAGACACCTGCAGCGCCTCCCATATCGCGCTTCATGCCACACATGCCTTCGCGCGGCTTCAATGCTGCGCCTCCCGTGTCATAGGTGATGCCTTTGCCGACAAGCGCCACACCTACTGGACCGCCGTCTGCCGACATGCCGCTGGGGTTATGCGTGAGCACTATGAGACAAGGAGGTCTCTGATCAGCACTTTTGCCCACATTCCAAAGGCCCCCGTATCCCTTGTCTCGAAGCTCTGTTCCTTCGATGACATGTGCTGTCACCTTGTCCAGGCCTTTCGTCGCCGCTAGAACGAACTCCTTCAGTGTCGCGGGCTGAATGAAGTTCGGCGGCATGTCTACCAGCCCCTGTGCAAGACGAATCGCCGCGGCCATGTGATTCAACTTCGCTAGCAATGGCCCCGGTGCTGCACCATAGAAGCGCACTGTCGCATCTGCCGGGCTCGGCATGTCAGCTTTGCTTACGAAGGGTGGCAAGCAACGAGCTACTGCAAGACCCGTCGCTAGGCGATTCTCCTCCGTAACTGCTATCACAATGTCCTTGCCTCGGATCTTGCCTTGCAGATGTTTCGCAATAACGTCAGGCCGGGCTTTGCAGACCACGCGGCTTTGCGCTGGGGGAACTGCAAGCAAGGTCACTGTGCGGAGCTCTTCACCGACCAAGAAAGTGGCCACCTTCGTGGAACCATTGTTTTCAACCTTTTTGACCACTGCTTCGGCAGCTGCAGAAAGAACCGGCACCTTCAAGGCTTCAGCGATGTCTTTGGCGACTTGAAGCACTTCCGGTGCGCTGCCAATGATCCACATGTCTCGACCCCCTTTCAGAGAAGCTCCGACGTCTCCAAGGTCCTGAAATTCCACTTGCTCCTTTGGGTGCAGAAGGACCTCGATCACACCCTCGGCGTCATCTGGCCGCACTTTCCTGATGGCCTGAGCCATTGCAAGCCCAAGCGCAGGCGGAGTCTGAGCGCGTTTAACGGCTACAGCCAAAACACCAATCGACTCTGCTGTCATGCCTTCGGATGACTACAAATAGTGTCGTCAAACCGCCTCGTTTTCATCGGATACATGCCTCTGCCCATGAAAAAAACAATGATGCAGCCACCTAGCCCGCCATCTAGTATACACGAACATCGAGCTTGCTCCCATCTACCAACCCAACAACAACTCAAATTGAACGCAAGCATTTGGTAGGGAAATGCGACCAGAATCAATACAGGTAGAGCTGGCACATGTTGATCTGCTTCCCTATAGGAATTATATTCCGAGGTAGATGGCAAAGCAGAGTCCAGCATGCTTTTAGCTTCCATGATGCCACAGTCAGTCGGTACAGAGGCAAAGTTGGAGCCGAAACGCCACTCCACTTGTTCGGCACATCAATGCACTTTGGCACGTGGAGCACAGGCATGCTTTGCGGATGCACCAGCGAGCATGCAGCTCTGGAAATCTGCCGAACACACATTAACCCGGCGCATCACGTGGTTGCCAGAATCCGTCACTGCTCGTCGGAAAGAGGCACGCCGGCACCTGCGCAGTAGATCCGGCACTGCGTCAGGGAAGGAAACCTGTGCGACACCTGGTGACCCGGAACGGCCCTGTGGTACAAATTGTAAAGAAGGCCAGGGCCTTCGCTGAGAGGGGTCCGAAGCACAATGGCAACGTCTTCGTGCTTTAGTTAGGAGAAGTTTGCGGCTGTTCAACTTGGAATCTCGCGGGCCCGAAAATTGGAAGGAAAACCTGGGACTACCTAAGCTCCATGCGTGTCTGCTAATGAGGCTCCTGGACCTCTGCAGGCAGTTTAGCACACTTGCAGCCGTGCACGGCGAGGATGCGCCATGTACGCACTTCTCTCTCGCACAGATCCCGCCCCACCAGACTGCACTTTGGGATGCTTTGGGCTTGCCAGTCCGAAAGAAGAGATGAGGCAATTTAAAACCAACCAGACTTGCAGTCTCATTGTTTGAAAGCGCGGCGTCTAGTTTATTCGGGACAGAGTCATGTTGGTTGTATACGCCACGCCGTGCCCAAATATGCAGCGACTCTGGACAACCGTACTCAACACACTCCACCCCGGTGTGTGCTTAGGCACGAGGTGGCAGCAAGCAAGGCACGATGCTGGCGATGGTCCCGGATCTTCCTCTCATCGCACTGCGCGTTCGCAGAGCTATCGGAGCTCGGGACGACCGGCAAGCATCCAGGCGTCTGCGTCCAGGTGGCGAATCGAAAGCCAGTCGGGATACCTTCGGTGACCCTGCCTCGCGCTGCGCACTGGTGGTGCAGCTGCCTGGGCAGGCACCACTCTCGCTCCCTCAATGTTGCGCCTGACCGACAATGCAAAGCTCCGGTTGCAGCTGGCAAGGCTGGCTGAGCCCACTCTAAAGGGCAAGTTACCTCCGGTCCCAAAGCAGAGGCGAGGCCCTTTCAAGGATCCAGACTACGGGGCTCACTTTGTGGGCGTTGGAGACCAGCACACCTTCCAGCTTGCGAAGTGGCGGAATTTGGCTCAAACGTCATCCGGCATTCCTGCTCAGGGATTGCAGACATGGACTTCGCGACCTGTTCTTTCAGACAGCGACAGATCGCTCTCACAGCCGGCAACCCAACCTCACTTCTTCGCTCCTGTCGGAATCAAAAACCGTTGATTTTGCTAACCGGACTTTCTGCCTGCTGCTTGAAAGGCGTGGCGCATTTGTATCACCGTTTTTTCTTTTCTGGCCGTTTCTGCAGTATGGACTGTTGGAAATTGCAAGAAACCAAACTTTGACTTGTCGTGAAACCACAAATATTTGCACGGAAGCTTCAAGGGGGGCTTAAGAGGGGCTTCAAGGGGGCTTCAAGGGACACTTCAATAAGAAGAGGTTTTCGTGTGTCTTCCCGCTTTCTGTATGTTCGAGCAGACGTTCTTTCAAGGCGAGGATCACTGTCAAAACAAACCTTCCGAGGCTCCGCAGCGCAGGAAGCTGAGAACGGGCTTGTTAGTGCACTCTCCTTCAGCTCTCGGACCAGTGTGGGATGCGCGGTGTTTCTGCAAGGCTACCACGGCGTGTGAAACAAGGTGCCGGCCGTCCTTGAAGCAGCTGCTTCTAAAAGTCTGAACTGCTATCGGAGCATGCGTTTGAGTTTAACTGGTTGGCACAGCGTGATTCTCGTCGGAGGCGTTACAAAGAATGATGCTGTGGTGACTGATGCCTGTTCGGCAGTCGGAAGTCCTTACCTGGGCGAACCGCTATGAGGTCCCGCCGGGTCATGCCACTGCAATTGGAGCACCTGGCAAGTCTCGGTGAAGGCCTCCACTCTGGCTACATGAAATTCCTGAAACCACGAGCAAATCGCGGACCTTCCGCGCACGAAGAACTAAACTGCAGGGAGAACTTGCGGTGTGCAAGATGGAAATACTATCCCCCAATGCTTAAGAGGGGGGGTGCTTGAAACATGCCGAAGGCATTTTCGGACGTCTCCATCCGCTTTACACAGCCAGCCGAGGTATCAGGATCTGCGGCAAGGATACAGGGACACTTCTTGCTGTGATGCCCAGCGATTCATCGCCCTCAAACATGCTTTCCAACCATTTGACGGCATTCTGCATGCAGGTCCGCCAAGAAGCAAAACATGGTGCAAGAATGAACGGCCCCCCTCATTTCGACGTTCATAACTACGGGAAATGCTCGTTGCCGCAGGCATCAGGAGGCTTGATTACAAGGGCTGTTTACGAGTTTCCTCGAAACGAATTGCTTGCTTCATTTTTGGTGCGAACTAGATTCCAATCGGGGATTGGGGAACTGGAACCGCGAGAGTTGATGAAGCCTACATGAGACAGGGCAGAGACGACCGGAAAGGGCACGGGAGTGCTGTCCTCGACGGAGCAGATGCAGAAGGCGTCTGCCAGGAAGTGATGTTCTTAGGGCTTTAATTGGGCTTAGTGCCTTAGGCCTTAGGGCTTCAATCCCCAAGTTGATTTGACTGCCAGCTGCAAGCAATTGATTGTCATCCTGTTCGCACGAGCCCCTGAGCCGTGCTGCAACTGCTTGATCCCAAACACGTGAGCCATTTACATGGGCTTACCTTCCATCGACGTGCTCGGCTCATGGGTTATCCCTGCTTTCCGCTGCTTGGAACCACCTCAAAACGTTATCAACAGATCCTAGTATTAAGGCTTTGAGGGCCGCTAGATTGCCTAGCTTCACAGGGCGAGTCCTTGCTTAAAGCTCTGTGCCGAGGGCTTCCGCCCCAAACCCCTCCATGATCGCATCTCCGGCAATGCCTGATCCGATTCGCACTCTCGGCCGATCCCATTCGCGGAGCTCATTTCCAACCCAAGTTTGGAGCCTTTTGAAAGCTGATACCTGCAGCTACCGCAGCAGGACCCTCCGGAAAGCTGTCTCCCTCGAACTGCGAGCAACAGCACACAGAGCCTCGGGGGGCTTCGCAAGCCTTTGTCATGCTGGGAGGATTCCTGTGGGCTGGCTTGTTCAAGCGGATGAGGTTCTGGCTAACATGCCGCCACCCTGCAGAGAAGCTACGAAGCATCCGAACAGCTGTCAGAAAATACAAGGAAGTTAAGGCAATTAACAAAGCACTTGCCGCATCTACCCGGCAGGGTTCGCATCAGCGGGTGCTTCCTCGGAATGCCAATCAGACAGACCTTCACAATCTTTCGCTTCACGTGGGACCCTCTTGCAAGGTGCATCTTCTTTCTCTCTCATTGAAGACGGGGGAGTCCACATCACCAGTTTGGCAGCCTAGTGCCCAACGCGGACGACAACACAGAGACCAGCTGAGCTGCAGGGATCCGAGAATGTATGTGTGGATTGACCATTTTCGAGCCCATCGGATATCGTCTTCCGGAAACATGATTGATTGATCGCCTGCGATGCGAGCACGCTTGCGAAGCAGGACACTGATGGCCGCACTGCACTTACCAGGCAGCGCTGCCTCTGACACACTGTGACGATGCACATCAGAAGTAGCAATGCACTGCACATAACATCGCACAAACTGATGACATGCACGATTCATACGAGCATGACATCAGGCTGCACCCGTTATTTCGAGGGTCTATCACCGGAGAATCAAGGAGGACAGCTGCCTCACTCACGCCGCACATCATCAAAGTCAAAATCAGAATACACAAGTTGCACCTCTCTCATGCACTGCTGTGAGGAATGGAGCTCATGGTGCCCTGCCTGGGCAACAACCGTGAAACAGCATGCAAAATGAGCAGAGGGACCAAAGAGGCTTCGCAAGGTGTAGCTGCGTGTTAGCTTTCATTATAGTGGGCTCATCGCCGGTGGCTGTCACAACCTGCAGTGCAATGCCTTGCGGCCATCCGGGTTTGCGTCATGCTGTGCGGCAGCAGAGCTACAGAAGAATCTGGTACCAGGTTATGAAAAGTCCTTCTGTTTGCGTGAGATTCTCTCCGCAGTGTCGGGACCGGACCCTGCACATCGTCAAACTGCCTGCCGATTTCAAAACACTGGAGGGTGTCTGCATTTGCAAGACGTGCGACCAGACATCGCACCTAGATAGCTAAATCTAAAACCCCTTATCGTTACGGGACCTCTACATGGACATTTAAGCCGATTTCAGGCGGGAACTCAAAACAAATCTGCAGCATCCTCGCGCCGCCAAACCCATGCGCAAAAGTGCTCAGCAAACAGAAGGACCGTAAGCACTCCGAAACCCTATGTGCACCGCAAATCACGGAACGGCCCCGGAACGTCGGTGACCCCTCAGACTGACAGTGCCAATGCCGTGCCAGGAGACCAAGCAGTTGCTAAGTAACGCCTGAAAAATCCCGACATACCCTACGGCGCGTGCACCTGAACCAAATCCCCAAAGACAATGGAGCTTCTGCGACAGAGTTTGCATTAGTCTAGTTTGTGAACTCTTTCGTATTTATGCCTTTCCACTTATATCATATCATAGGACAGTATCCGGAGGGACGTCGGCAAGGCATCTGCAACTGTGAGAAGTTAGCATCGGTTTGCTTGCCCGTCTTGTCCTTCTGCGAAGCA